TAATGGTTCTATGATTCTATGATTCTAAATAAATGAATTCCCTTTATAGTTTGTCTGTCATACAGAAGACAGGGTAAGGGCGTGTGAGCATAAACTTACAAGGTAATTGGTGGTTTGAAAGCAGCTCTGGTACCTATGGGTATTTGCTGTCTTTCTCATGTATAACCTGTGACCTAAAACAGTTCATGCAAAATTGAAGGCAAGCAAGGAAGGAATCAAAGAAGAGGCAGACTTAGCAAAAGGAAGAGAAGCGGAAGAGTTGCCTGCTAATTTTTGCCTGTGTTACTCTTTTTTTACTATCTTCCCCCATACGTGCAAACTGTATTACTGTTGATTTATAGTTTATTTATTTTAGGTTTAAAATTGATTATAAATAGTCCTTTTAAATAATTAGTACAGTATAACACGGAGTTCTCTGCTTTTAACGAAATACCTGTATTTCTCATGTTTTTGTTTTCTAAGTGTAATGTAAACAGACCAATTACATTGGCATAACATTTTTCTTGGATGGAGGTAAATGCCTGAGTCAAAGTATTCCAGTATCTCAACTTGACAAGTGGTGATTGAAACAGGAACAACCGATTTCCTTTTGCTTTTTGTGCTGACAAGTCGCTTTGTATTGTCTGATAATGATCCTACTTGATGAACGCTTTCAAAGATATAAAATAGTCTTATTTCTCTTCCCTGTTAGCTTGGTGATGTGATGGTGGACATAGCAAGTAACATTATGTTAGCTGATGAACGTGTTCTGTGGATGGCACAAAGGGAAGCCAAGGCTTGCACTAGAATTGTACAGTGTCTACAGAAAATTGCTATGTATCGGCTTGCAAATGGAGCTCAAGTTTATTCTACTGTAAGTATAAATTTATTTATTTAGAAGACACTTTGCTGGCTCTTGAGTTTCAATAGCTTTTTATTTTTCTTAATAGATGTTGGCATTATCTGAAATGCCTACTGTTTCTGTAGGGAGAAGAGAAATGCTCTGAACAGATTTATCCCTGCCAGATAAACAGAAACAGTTTTCTGGGTGTTTTTTTCTGTGATGGCAGAGAATCCCTTTAAGATTATTTATTATTCTTCCTGTCATGTGTAAAATTATTTAACGTTTCATTTTTGTCGTCACAGTATTCTCCAAATATTGCTCTTGAGGCTTATGTAATAAAGGCTGCTGGTTTCACTGGGATGACATGCACCGTATTTCAGAAAGTGGCTACATCAGACCGTACAGGACTTGGTGATTATGGGAGAAGAGATCCGGATGGAAATCTAGATAAACAATTAAGCTTTAAGTGCAACATTTCAAATACACTGTCAAGTCTAGCTTTAAAGGTCGGATACTCATTGTTTCCCTACTGACTTTGTAATAATATCTTAAATATGAATCATTTGGAAAGCAGGCTTATATTATTAATTTCTAACGTTAAAGTAGCATTTTTATGTAATCCAGAATGACTGGGACAAGAGATAATTAAAGTGACAAAGGATAATAAAGTTTGATTATAGAATAATTTTTTTAATGGACACAATTTTTAATGAGTAGGTGTGGTTTTCTTTATTAAAACATCTTAAGTTGAAAGATGCTTTCAGACCTTTTCGTAAGTACGGAAATTGAAATGCTCCCTAGTTCATAATAATACTTGGCTTTATTTTGCTGTATTTTCACCTTCATTACATATTAAATGAGATATTACCAGTCTCCTTAAATATCTGAAATATTCTGCTCAGAGTGATACTGTAATTAAGCATGAAATAGAAAATGGACCTGTTTGTCCATTTGTGTGTGTGTGTGTGCATGTACACACACACACACACATGTATATATATGTGGGTGTGTATAGAATGGAAACACTTCCTCATATTCTATAAAAGTATTTTTTCAGCTACATTCTCCAACATACCAGTTTGTTTTTATCACTTAATGTGCTTGAACATCACTGCAGGTGTATATTTGAAATTATATTTATGTAATTCGATGAAACTACATGTATGCTTCCCTACCCAAGTATAATTTATATACGAGTTATCAAAACTTGCTTGTATACAGTGTTTCATTTTGAATGGTACTAATGCACAATTACAGCATTTCTCTTTGTCTGCTTGCCTTGGTTGCTGCTTCTAGTTGCCAATAGTCTAATCTGAAAAACTCTTCTAATACTTTACTGATATCAACTTCAACTTTAGTCTCTGTAACAAGTAAGGTAGCTACAGAATCTTAACATTTTTTTTTCTTTTTAAAAAAAAGCGTTAAGACTTTAATAACCCAATTCAACTATTTTATCATGGATTACTTGGAAACACTGTCAAGTAGGTTGGTCACAATACATAGTCTGCTAAATGCATTCATCTCTGACACTGTTCAGTTGGAGGCGTTGCTAATTTAATCTCTGTAAAGAATTTCATTTTCTCTTTAAAACTTTAAAAATCTGTTTATTTCTAGAACACAATTGTAGAGGCTTCTATCCAGTTGCCAGCTTCCCTTTTCACCCAAAAGCAAAAAAGAGAAATCAGACCAGCAGATGAATCTGTCTACAAGCTTCAGCTTATTGCATTTCGCAATGGAAAGCTTTTTCCAGCAACAGGAAATTCAACAAATCTGGCTGATGATGGGAAACGTCGTACAGTTGTAACACCAGTTATTCTTACCAAGATAGGTTTGTTTTTTATTGTTACTTTTTTATGATCTTTAAAAATAAGAAACACTTTTGACTCCTTTGTTTAGACTAGTGTATATCTAATAAAAGGTTTTTAGCATCTAATGTGTTACATGTGCAAATACATTTTTTTTTTTTGTAACAGATGGTTTAAACCTAGCCAGTCACCACGTTCCTATAAATGTGACACTGCGGCGCATTGCGCATGGAGCAGATGCTGTTGCAGCTCAGTGGGACTTTGATCTACTGAACGGACAAGGGGGATGGAAATCTGATGGTTGTCGCATTCTTCTGTCCGATGAAAATATTACTACCATTCAGTGCTACTCCCTCAGCAACTATGCAGTTTTAATGGTATGACACTTACAATTACATGTCTCTTTCTGGAACTTAAAAATATTCAAAATGCAATTCTGTGGGGTTTTTTCCTTGCATGCCCATGTTCCGTTCCCCATAAAATTAGACATAAGAAATCTTCAGTTTTTACTTGTGTTGATATAAATGTTGATGTAAGATGAGGTTTAAGTGGCAATCTGTCAAAGTGGAATTAATTGCTGAATATACTAAACACAAAAGAATTTTCATATGAAAAGTACTAAATTATAGGAAGCCATTTTAATGAGCTACTTAATCAAATGGGCTTTTATGAATTTTAATCTAATAATGACAATTTAAAATAAAGAAAGGTAACAGTCAAAAACCCCTATCTTCTCTGTGTTAGATTAAATTTGTTAGCTTTGTCTGTTGACAGGAGTGTTTTCCCAGGTTTTGGGTTTTTTTTTTTTTGCTGTGATCCATAACCAGCAATAGCTATTTCACTGCAAATTAGCTATTCATTCACTAGTATGTAGGCCTGTTACCAGAAGGCATCGATTGAAAAAGGAAAAAAAATCAAAACATTTAGTTACTATCCAAAGTATTTTTGAAATATTGCTTAAAAAATAGTATCTAAACTCTAGTTTTAGCATATTGATGTCAATAAAAAGGTTAACCAGTTCTAAAATATAGTGATAGTTGAAGAAGAAGGGGGCGAGACACCTTCTTTTAGTGCTCTTCAGTTATGAAGTAGGATTTCTTCTTTGTCTGTTCCCAGAGCTCTTCATTTCAGAATTTGGCCTGGGAAGCTTCCATTTTTAGAGATGGTGACTGCTACCCTGCTTATGAGTCATCACCAGAGATGCTAAATGATAAAGTGTGATACATAAAAATGGTAGGCTAGTAGGAAGCTGAGTGAAATAGTAAGAGGTTTAGGAAATACTGTTAACTTGAGTGTAAATTTGGTATGGGTTTTGTTGTAGTTAATGTGCTCTGTGTGGAATTAAATATATATTTTTATGTAATCGTACGTGGAAGAAAGAGGATTCCTTTATAATGATCAGTGCATGAGAAGTTGCTATTTTTGCTTTTGTTGTGGCTTAAGCTGGCAGGCAACCAAACACCACCCAGCCACTTGCTCACTTCACTGCCCCCCAGTGGGGTGGGGGAGAGAATCAGGGGGGTGGGGGAAGTAAAATTCGTGGATTGAGACAAAAACAGTTTAATAGAACAGAAAAGGAAGGGAAAATAATAATGATAGAATATACAAAATGAGTGATGCACAATGCAGTTGCTTACTGCCTGCTGACTGATGCCTAAGCAGCGATCCCCCCCCTCCACCAACCCCCAGTTTACGTACTGAGCTTGATGTCATATGGTATGGAATACCCCGTTGGTCAGTTGGGCCAGCTGTCCTGGCTGTGCCTGTTCCCAGCTTCTTGTGCACCTGGCAGAGCATGGGAAGCTGAGAAGTCCTTGACTAGGGTAAGCACTACTTAGCGACAACTAAAACATCAGTGTGTTATCAACATTATTCTTGTACTAAATCCAAAACACAGCACTATACCAGCTAATAGGAAGAAAATTAACTCTATCCCAGCCGAAACCAGGACAGCTTTGCACCTCAAATTTTCAACAGTCTTCCTCTTACAAGAATTAAATAGTAGAATACCAAAAAGCTAAACATAAATAAAATTAAGATTTATATGCCAAGCTTTCTAAAAGAGCTCAGAGAGCTTTTCACTTTACCTCTGAAGGTACTGTTTTAAATTACTTCAAACTGTTATAATCCTACAGTTGCTTCCTTCGATATTTTTAAAATACATAATCCTTTCCTAAAACATAAAGCATTCTTTAAAACAGAATTAAACTTCATCTGTATGTGTAGTATGCATGTAAAGAGAGATGATGCTTTAAATTGGTCACATTTCTGCCATCTGGAGGAAGAAAAATGAAGAACATAATCTGCTGCTCTAAATGACTATTTCTAGATTAACACATGGTAAGATTATATAAATATCTTATTGTGAGTTATATAGAGAATTGTTGACAGTCAGAAATCAAAAAAGTTAGAGGAAGGCGCAGCTTGCTTTCTTTTCTGCCAGTGGCTGTCATTCTATGTTTGCTCAAAACTGGTATTCCTTAAATATTTAGCTACTTGCCAAAATGTTAGGCTGTAGGGACTGGAGAGGAGGGGGTAGGTGGAGGAGGACAGAGAGTAACGCTCATCTGTTAGATGTGCCTTGCACATAGTTAATATATTGCAAAAGCCCTGGATGTCTAAGTAGCTGCTGAAACAGGTTTTCATAATGCCTATCCATATATTAACTAAAAAAGGCACAATAATAGCCTATTTCATTTGTAGACTTTGATAGTGTTGTGAAAGTCTGGGTTCTGGTCCCAGGCTCATAGTTCTGGGTTCAGTTTTAGAAGTTTGGCTTTTAATTCAACAGTTGTCATTAACATCAAATACATGAACAGTAGTGGCAGGAGGGACTTGAATGCAATATTCCATCATCCTGGCTGGATGGTGAATGACTAAACCAGAGTTATTTCACTCTTTTTTTAGTCTACTTTACTTTAGTACATATGTGTGTAGAAGAAAGCAGGTTGTAACACCAACACATGCATGATGACTTCTTACCTGTCACCAATCCGGAAACAGCAAGAAGAATTCTCCTACAGTTTCTGTTCTCCGATACTCACTGGCTATGTGTGATGATACATTTGCTCATGCTTGTAACAGCAATGAGTTCCTAGGGATCTCCAGCTGGATATCAACCAGGCCATGAGTAGTGTTGAAATCAGATGACACTGGCTGCCTGAGGCATAATATCTGACGATTTTTCTCGAAGTGTTTTTTCCAGGTGCCAAGGAAAACCAAATACATAAAAATCAAACTGACAATCTGATTAAATTAGTTTGAAATGAGGTTGGTGAGTTAGTTAGGAATAAAAAATTTATGTTCTGATGAAAGAACAATTGAAGGAGTGGTGAAAAGACTGCTGACTCTTAATTGTCAATTCAAGACTCTTCTCCTGTCCATGAAATCAGATTACCTGTCTTAACCTTAAAAACAGATTGTAATCACTGTGATTTTTCTCAAAACAAACTGAAGCTTCCTCCTAATGTTCTGCTGTTCTTTGTGAATGCCAGAGTTGTTCTCCTTTCCCCCAGCACACTTTTGAACTTTGCCAACTGTAGAGATTTAAGAGTGACTCTCAGAATTACAGTTGAGAGAATTTTCTGTATCCTGTCTGTTCTGAGACGTTCTTTTTAATAGATTTTCCCACTAATCTTAGTTAAGCAAATTTGTTTTATTTAGTGCTGGAAGGGACTGAAGTTTGAGGTTGTTTGTTTGGGTTTTTTTCCTCCAGTGTTCATTACCGTTATGGAAGTGGAACCCTAGTAAATTGTAACTGCATCCAAACAGAATTATTTCTTCTTGCTATTATTGTTAGTAAATGAAAATGTCACTCCTCAGATGTTATTTGAAACACTGCCATGCTTTAACAGTCCAAGGTTCCATTTCATGCTTACTCCTTGAGTAATATTTTGATGGGTGGGTTCAGAAAACTTGAACGATGCTAAAGAGCTGTTGAATTCTATTTGAGTTACCAGCTATCTATTCCTGTCAAGCAGTAATCATAGAATAACAGTCTGGTAGGAACATCTGGGTGTCATTTGATCCAATTACCTGCTCGAAGTTTGATCAGCTTCAAAGTCAGATCATATTGCTGCAGACCGTATTCAGTCAACCTTTGAGTATTTCCAAGGACAGAGAATACACAGTCTTTTGGGGCAGTACGTGACCACTTTCATCAATTTTTTTCCTGTATCTAATCAGAATTTTGCACGTTGCTGATAATGTCCATTGCCTCTCATCGTTTCATGGTTCATTTCCAAGGAAAGTTTGACTCAGTCTTCTTTACACCATCCCAGTAGTTCGCTCAATATAATAATGAGATTTCTTCCATCTTCCTTTCCTTCTTAAACATGAACAAACCCAGCTTTTTCAACCTCAGACATTGTGTGCTTCAGCCTGCTAGTCATCCCAGTGATCTGTTAGACTTGCTCCATCCAGTATGTCAGTGCCTTTCTTGTACTGGGGAGCCTCAAATTGAAGACAGTTCTGCAGAGGTGGTCTTACACTGCTGAACAGAAGGGATTAATCAGTTCACCTGCTTGCTGTAGTTTTGCTAGTACAGCGAAGTGTGGCCTTGGACTGCAGGCTACACTGCTGACTTGTGGTCAAATTTTGTCTACCAATACCCTCAAATGGTTCTTTGGTTGCTTTCTGTTCAGTCCAGTGCCCAGCCCGTATTGTTGCATGCATGGGGTTATTCCATCCCAGATGCAGATCTTTTCACATTTTCCTTTGCTACATTTCATGATGTTTTATCAGCCCATTTCTCTGGCTCACCAACATCTCTCTGAATATCCTCCAATCTATTGATCAGTCTCCCCAGTCTATAGCATCATCTGCAAACTTGCTGAGGGCACTTTCTGTAATGTTCTTTAGGTTATTGCAGAAGATAATAATCATAACTGAAACATACAGTTCCACATGCTATACATATAAGTATTTTAAGAAGAAAATGGTGTGTGTCTATAAGCTGCTAACTTCTCTGTATATTCAAACATATATGAAGTTTAAGTGTTCTGTGAGATGTGTGACTACATTTATAAAGGTCAGCCAGAATAGCAGGTAATTGTGGAAGAAAGCCAGGAACATGAAATAATAAATAATTGGAGGGTCAGGTTTGGGGGGGCGGGAGGGATGTAATCTAGAAGATTCCTGTTATTTCTGTATTTTGTGTTTCCTCTGCCATTCCCCCTGCCCCCACAAAATGAAGAGGTAAGGTGGACTAATGTTAATTCTGTTTTTGTTGTCAGGACTTGACAGGAGCTGAATTATATACACAGCCAGCTGATCTTTTGCATCCAGTAATTTATGCCACTGCAATGGTTTTGCTGATGTGCCTGTTGATGATCATTGTCAGTTACATATACCATCACAGGTATGAATCAAAATTACTAGATTAAAAAAAATCAGTTTCATAAGTGCTTAGGACTACTTTTTCTTTTTGATAGGAACACGATATAGTAATCTGCATTTGGTTTTTTTCCCTGTAAAATTTGTTGATGCAAACTAACAGTTAAGCAAGTAGCTATTTCATCTGTTCTTGAGTATGACAATTTAGCTCTCATAACCATGTATCTTTTTAATTCTTCACTTTCGCTTCATGATGAAAGAAGAGACCACTCAAGAATGACGGTAGAATTTAACAAACTGTTCAGCCTTTTACATTCCTGTTGATGTGAAAGCTCGAAGCCTAAAATTTTTGAATCAGGCCCCAAATAGTTGTATAATGCTAGTTAATAGGAGGGTGTTTTAATTTCTTGTGATGAAGACCAGAGATTATATTTGATTACAAAGTACGTGGTAGTCAAACAATCATTAACAGTAATTATATCTCATTTATCACAAGTATATCTTGCTAGTTTCTGAAAGACAATAACACAGCTGTGTTTTATGTTGTCTGATTTGTTTCTTTTAACAGTGTGATCAGGATCAGTGTAAAAAGCTGGCATATGCTAGTTAACCTGAGCTTTCATATTTTCCTGACATGTGTGATGTTTATTGGAGGCATAACTCAGACTTTTTTTCAGCATTTGCCAAGCAGTAAGTAAACATGCAAACACTTGGAAAAATTAGTTACCAGTTTCATACTCCTATGTATGTAGACGCCCCCCTTGCCTGCTACAGAACAGTATACTGTACAGGCATTTTCATCTGAATATAAAATTTAGACAAAAAATCCTTTTTTTTTTTTTTTTTCAACCTTAAAGATTTCTCTTGTATTTTCATCCAGCCATGAACTAGTTTGTTACTTGAAAACTGGAAAAGTATTTCAGAAGTGCAACAGAAGATTTTTTTGCCCAAAATGCTATACAAAAAAACAAGTTTTACCTGTTAGTTTTATTTTTGAGACTTACTTATTATGAAATTGTTTTATAGGCCTGTATGTGGCCTTTACGTACCTTGTGAAAACTGATTTACACAGGTATTAAAATATTTATTTCCATTTGCTCAGTATAACCTAAAGGGTGGAAAAGAGAAGTGTTTCAAGTCAAAGACCCATGCTTTCTCTAAACAAGCATCATTGAGATGTTTGAGACTCCTCTTTTATAATGACTTGTTCCTCTAAGATTTGGCCATCTCTAATTCAGTTGCAGTTTTTCAGTATAGTAAAAGTTGCTGGTTTGGAATGGTATCGGTGAAATTTTTTTAATGTTTTCTTTTTTTGATCCAGTGATTCATAAAAGTTTCTAATCCCTCACCATAATATTCTGTAATGCTTTTTGTTTGAATTTACAGTAGTTATTAGTTTGATGGTTCAAAGTGTTGCATGTTGCAATAAAATATGTCCCTGCTCTTTCTCCTACAAATATAAAGAGAATGCTAGTCTGTGTGCATGCATATATACGCGTGTGCACACACACACACACACACACACACACATATATATATATATATATATGGAGAGGAGGAGATAGTTTGAAAAACTGTAATCTTCTTTCTTGCCTTCTTGGAGACAGTAATCCCTCCAGGACAAATTCTGTGATATGGATGGGTTGTTTAAGAGTTGTGCTTTTACTGGCAATTGAAACTTGCAAAAAACCCTACCTCCAGTCATCTTAACAGAAACTGAAATGTCACCTCTTCCATGCATGTGTGCTGCCATTTAAGGGATATATGAAATCTACTTCTTGCAGTCACTTCATCTCAGTGTTGGCTTATGAGTAAGGAAATACAGGAAAACCAGGTTGTGCCTTTCCTCGACAAAACTCTTGGGTCTTGGGGATTCCTGGAACTTCTTTTAAGAAAACAATGTTCGATTTATAAAATACTGCAGATGTAAAAGGATCTGACAGACAGCCATTTTCTTAACAGTAGTGCCCAGTCAGTCTGTGAGGATGACTTTGCATTAATGTTTGGGCTGGTTAAATATCTAAAGTATGACACTTTCTTTTTTCTGCATTATGTTAAAATCGCTGATGAGTTTGTTAGCTGTCTATATTTTGCTGCCTGGTATGTAGTTACACAATATCATTAGCTTGCTGTTCCCTTACTTGTTTCAGTTTGAATAATATCTGTAACACAAGACATTTTAAAGTTAAGTGTTTCATAAAATACAGTTTCCTAAAGTGTATGATTAATATATAATATTAAAAATGTTGGCCAGCACAGTTCTTCCCGCGTTACTAAGTTTTCCTTCCACTAGAGGCAACTGCAGCTATGTAGCCTTTCCAGACTCAACCAATACGAAGATGGGTTTGCGTAACATATTTTACTTTTTTGAAAACCACAATGACTTGACATTTAGAACAGTCATAGTAAGACAAGAGGGTTTCTTCTCTATTGAACTGAGCTTTTGAAAATTCAGGCTTTATACCAGTTGCGTGTTAAATGATTAATTTTTAACTTGGTAAAAAGGAAATGTTTAGGCGTTCATTTTTATTTTTGTTTTTTTAAGGTTGGGATAATTCTCCATTATTCCACTCTTGCTACAGTACTGTGGCTGGGAGTGACATCTCGTAATATTTACAAGCAAGTAACCAAAAAAGCAAAAAGATGTCAAGATCCTGATGAGCCACCTCCTCCACCCAGACCAATGCTGAGGTGAGCTTGTTGTTTGTGTCTGCAACTCATTATTTCCCAAGTCGCTATGCTCATATTCTGATCAGAAAATGTAACAGACTTTTTTGCAAGTGCCTTTCATAGAAGATTTTCTTTCCAGGTCCTTAAAGTCCTTTCCAGATTTTTCTGTTTCTCAGCATTATGTTAAGGAGGATGAGGTGAAGGGCGATTGTTAGCATATTACTGTTGCAGTGCTGTGTTCCTGATTTATAAATTAAGAAATGGTAGTGTTTCAGCATCACCACTGGGGCTTTGATTAGGACTTTAGATAGCAACACTTCCTATTAAATTTTCATAGAAGAAAGAATGTGGAGAACTGTTACCACGCAATTAACAAACACTGCAATTTAAGTAAATAGAGTTTAATATGTTTTCCAAGGATTGCTTACAAATAGTTTGAAAAACAGGTACCAGTCATTATCAAATAAAAATAGTGTTCTTTGTGAAGCATTCCCACTGAAATGGGACAAACTAGTTATCTGTGAAATTCACCTTATGTGAAATAGTTTTAATAGAAAACATTCACATACTTTGTTCATATAGCTTACTGAGCCCCTGGATATTAATTAAAAACTGCTAAGCTGAAATTCTCCACAAGGTGGCAGAAGTTGATTAACTTTGATTAGTTATAGGCAAATATTTAGAAAGCTTGATTTTAAAGTACAGAGACTGCAGAAAATCAGAAATGCGTTTTTGAATATCATCAACTAAAATTTGTAGTACTATTTACAAGCATATAGAAATATTTAACTGATAAGGTAGAAGGTAGAAGGTTAATGTTTATACCACATAAGTGCTGTCTTTTGTTTTCCTTAACTTTTATTATTTTTCTTTTAAGAAAAAGTACATCTGTTGTATTCACTGTAGGATATCATGCCCATCACCAACTGTGTGCCTTCCAGCAGGGTAATCAGTAGCCTTTTTAACATCTGTTATGATTTCCCCCTCCCCCCCCCCATCCCTTATTATTTGTCATGGAGTTCTTGCTTTGGAAAATATTACAATAAAATTACCAGCCTCACAGGCTCAGCTCTGCATAGACATAAACATGGACGTACCATTTCAGATCTGGACACCTCATCTGTGACAATGGCAGTAACTCTGGAGACAAGTATCAGAACCGAGCAAACATGCTTCATATTTTCCAGATTTTCTCAATGTCCAACTTCTTGCGGATCAGGGATTTCCTCAGTCAGATAGATGTGTGATGTTTTTGCATGGAACAGCCATAGAAGGATTTTTTTTTTTTTCATTCAGTTGTCTTTTAAACTTGTGTTCAAAACAAAACTACCCATAGTGGCACAGGGCAAAGAGTTTTGTGCAAGAGTTTCTTGCTTTTTTGGAACTGGTCACCTACTGTTATCAGGCCCCCTGTTTGTTGAATTTAGAGACAAAACAGCTGATTCTCTGTTTGCCTCCACACTGTTTATATTTCTCCTCCATATGCCTTTTCAGAATTACAAAGGGTCTTTTTGGAACAGAAAAAAAACCCAAAAACCCAATAAATGTATGTAGGTCCACATTTTTCTCCTTATCTGCCATATGTAAATTATTCTGCTTTGTGTTCTTTGGGTTTAAAGAAGTCCACCTTGCAGATCATAGGTAGACATGATGTTTATGCTGATCATCAGTTCCTGTAGGTATTTTCTGTGGGTGGACTTCATACCTGTTAAGCTTCCTTCTCCTCTAGCCTAGATAAGCTTTATTCTTTATTTTGGAAAATTCATTGCATGTAAGACAATTTCGTTGGTGATGATGATATTCATTCAGTGTTAATGGGACTTTGTCACAGGTCATGAACAAGGTGGAAAAAGACTTTGAAATGGATCCAGTGTTCTGCAGAAAGCCACTATAGATGGTAGAAGAGATTTGCAGTGGCTCACAGTAGCCATGTTGAGAAGATAGTGCAACACTTGGCATTGGTTGTAATTTCTTAACTGTGAAAAACTTTATGCCAAGTATATTCCATTGCCATGCCAGGCAAGAGGGTGTAAAAATAACTGAGGTCCTCAGCTGCCAATCACAAGAAGGAAATGGAGTCTGTCGTGTAGAAATGATATTTTGTTCAGCAGACTCCAACCAAGATAAAAGGAAACAGTTTCAAATTTTTTAACGAAAAGAATTACTTTACAAAGAACCTCGCTGAAGATCTTACTGGATGGAATGCTTCATGTAAAGCATGAATAAAATAAAAATACAAATATTTGTATTTTGTAATTTTATTTAAAATAAATACAAATACTTGTATTACTATAATACAAATACTGTGTGACTGTTCTACTTAGAAACACAGCATTTTGCTATTTACGTTTTTTTTTCTGTTACCGTCATAACACCTCTTGTGTACCCATGTCATTAGATGTGTTTTTCTCTCTTTGATCTAACTTAAGGAACAGTTTTAGCTTGTACAGCATTCTGCCTCAGAATCTTAATATTGCTGCATCTCCTCTAGCATACTCTGTATATGTTTTTTAGTTACTATTCTGTTTGTACAGCTCCTTGCTGCATGATAGTTTTGGTTTGTAATTTGGGCTCTTACGAATTGCTGAAGACTTAGACACAGCAATGCACAAGTGGTTTGGCGTTTTTTGGGGGGTTTTGGGGTTTTTTTTGTGTTTGGTTTTTTTTTGTGTGTGTTGGTACTTGGTGTCTTGAATGGTTCAAGGCTGGTTGTAAACGTGTTCCTTCAATCCAGCAAACTGAACTATGGCTACAAACAATCCGTACTGCTTCACTCTCCCACCAGTAACAATTTGCCTTGTATAGAACCAGCTTCACCTAGCTGTTCATGTGTGAGTAGTGGTGCATCTTTGAGGCAGTGATTTAGTAATCTGTAGTGAAAGATAGGTAGAGTAAAATCTGCCACAAAGATCTGTTTCATCTGGCCAGCTCCCGATTGCTGCATCAAGATACGGAGTAAACCAATGACAGAATTTGATCTTTGTAGGATTCAGCAGCTAAGTAATATATTTAGTGTACTTAGACTTCCAAGAAAGACTTCATTTATTTTAGACTGGTTTTTTGTGTCTCAAGTGAGACAGCAGCAACTTCTGGTGACTAATCTGAAATGCAGTGGAAAATCCAGGACCATCGGAATAGGTGTCTCTTGTTGATGAAACAAACTACCCATCTGTATGTCACAGTAGTAGTTCTCACTGTGTGTTCTGATCTGAATTTGGACTGGATTAACATAAGATGCAGGACAGAGTGCCGTTAATTTGAGTGATTGTCAGTAATTCTTGATCTGCCACTAATGAATTCAATGTGAATTCACAGAAATTGGGATGAAAAGTTAGATACTCCAATAACACATGCCCTCGTCTTTGTGAAGGCATACAGTTTTTATTAACATCACCACAGGGAAGCAGGAGGTATATACTATGAGATTATAGAGTCCATTAAAAATAAATAAATAAAAACAACAACAGCACCATGCCCCAAGCCCCTCCACACAAAAAAACCCAAGCAACAAGCATTCTTATGGCTGATCTTCTGAACATAGTGTCCATAATATTAGGCAAGTTTAATCTCTGGAACAAGAGACATACCACTTAATATTTTCCTTCTAAGTTTCCGTATTCTCTTCCAGCAGTTCACAACTTTGGACTGCCAGCTTTTGCTTCTTCTGTCTAACTGTGTATACCTTCATTCAGTGCCTTCCAGGGAGGTGAGCAGCTGTAAGTGAGAGGTGGTTTATAACAGGAGCAAAAAAATTGTAGTGAGGAAGACTTAGAAAAAATTTATATTGCCAAAGCCCAAACCTGATTCACACTAATTATTTTCTTAAAGAACTTGCATATTTCCAGAATCCTGGAAAGCTCTCCTTTGCTTCATGGTGATTGAATTGCCACTAAGCAGCCACTGATATACTGGCTTTACTTTTTAGGTTCTACCTTATTGGTGGAGGGATCCCTATCATAGTTTGTGGAATAACAGCAGCAGCAAACATCCGAAATTATGGCAGCAGACCTAATGCTCCTTAGTAAGTACCATATCGCTGAGAGCTCTGTCATAAGATTTCATGGGTTTGCTTTTCTACGTACTTGTTGCAATTAATTCTGATTCTTCCAGAAAATGTAACACAGCCAAGATAATTTCAAAGTACCATTACAAACTGATAAAGCCTAAGTGATTTGTGAGAAGATGTTAATTTTGATTCTTCGGTTTGTTTCTTTTCCAGTTGCTGGATGACTTGGGAACCTAGCTTAGGAGCATTTTATGGACCAGCTAGCTTTATAATTTTCATAAACTGTATGTATTTTCTCAGCATATTCATACAACTAAAACGTCACCCTGAACGTAAATATGAACTTAAAGAACCCATTGAGGAACAGCAGCGTCTGGCCACCAACGAACACGGGGAACTGGCTCATCAAGATTCATTGTCGGTGTCGCTAGTTTCTACATCTGCTTTGGAGAACGAGCACAGTTTTCAAGCACAGCTGCTGGGAGTGGGCCTTACTTTGCTTTTGTATGTTGCTCTGTGGATCTTTGGAGCTCTGTCAGTTTCCCTGTATTATCCCATGGACCTGATCTTCAGCTGTTTTTTTGGGGCAACATGTTTAAGCCTCAGTGCCTTTCTTATGGTGCACCATTGCGTTAACAGGGAAGATGTCAGGCATGCTTGGATAACAACTTGCTGCCCTGGAAGGAGTACGTATTCAGTGCAAGTAAATGTTCAGCCCTCCAGTTCCAGTGGAACCAGTGGAGAGGCCCCTAAGTGCACCAACAGTAGCGCAGAATCTTCATGCACAAATAAAAGTGCATCAAGCCTAAAAAATTCTTCTCAAGGTTGTAAACTAACGAACTTACAAGCTGCAGCAGCTCAGTGCCACCCTACTTCTCTGCCATTAAACACAGGTCCTCAACTTGATAACAGTCTCACTGAACATTCAGTGGATAATGATATCAAAATGCATGTAGCTCCCTTAGAGGTACAGTTTCGGACAAACGGACACCCAAGTCGGCATCATAAGAACAGAAGCAAGGGACATCGTGCTAGCAGGCTTGCAGTATTGAGGGAATATGCGTATGATGTTCCCACAAGTGTGGAAGGAAGTGTGCAAAATGGCTTACCTAAAAGTCGACAAAGCAACAGCGAAGGGCATTCAAGGAGCCGAAGAGCCTATTTGGCATATAGAGAACGTCAGTATAACCAATCCCAACAGGATAGCAGTGATGCTTGCAGTACACTTCCAAAAAGTAGCAGAAATACTGAAAAAACAATAGCTACCAACAGCAAAAAAGATATTCTAAGGAAACCAATATCGGTTGAACTTGAAAACCAACAAAAATCTTACGGCTTAAATTTAGCCATTCAGAATGGACCACTTAAAAGCAGTGGACAGGATGGAGCCTTGCTCACTGCAGATAGTACTGGTAATATTAGAACTGGGTTGTGGAAACATGAAACTACTGTGTAGCATTGTAATTCATTGCGGGACAAATCCATATGAACTGTGATTACACATTCCTTAAAGCTATTAACACTTTTAAAGACTGTTTACAAACTCCAGGTACTTTATGCAGGGAGGGAACAAAGATAATCTGCCAAGCAAAAGATTGTGTGCATTATTATCTTTGCTGTTCTTACAAGGATGAACTTTTGGTATTTTGTGAAATTTTTTTTGACGCGTCAATCTTGAGAGATGCAGAACGTAACTTTGTACATTTTTATTTTTTACCTGTAACCCTGCAGATGTGTCCACAACACATTTCAAATTTGTATTTAAATGTATAATAAATAGTATTTTCCCCAGCAGCCCAATGTTGCACTTATTTATTGGGTTTTTTAAAGATTATTGCACTGAATGTCATCTTGATTTTATTATTTCAGTATCCGAAACTCGTAAGTTTTAAGTTACTAAAGACAATGTTCAGTGTCTGATATAGACAGTGTAAATAGCTCAATTAATTACATAAGGCCTAGAATTTGTTTGAAATGAAGAAGCTACATTTTAAAGAGATTTTTAGTATACAGGCAACTTGTTTACTCCAAAATGGTTGTCTTGTACGTGCTGCGTAAGTTAGTTATATTTTCATATGGATGTGGCTTATTTTAATGCAGTTGCACAGAGTTCTAGTTTACTTGGTAATGTTTTTGGATAATACTCTATTTTGCCCTCATAATTACCTGACTGGGATTTTTTTTTTAAATTTGTTTTAATAATTTCTAATTGAGAAGGTTATGAATGTTCACAGACAATAAGTGCTAATTTGCAAAGGTTGTCAGCACATATCTGTGAAAACTCATTCAGTTGTAATAGTGTGGAAGAATAATAGCACAGGTGTTTTGATAGGTGGCAATGGGATAATTTGTTAAGAGTATGATCAGTTTGCAAAATCAGGGTCTTTAGGTTCAGTGTCACCGTTCAGTGTTTTGAGTTGCAAGTTCACTTTTACTCACCTGTATGTGACCATTTGCAGAATAATCTCCAATAACTATACAGCATCTGTGTTTAAAAAAAAAAAGTTTCAGTAGAAGGGCTATATTAATAAGGTTATCAGTTTTATAAAGCATGTAAATTCCTGCAGTAGAAATAGCTAAAACATGCAATCTTTTACAATAATATAAATCTTGAAAAATAAAAGCTGTAGTTAAATTCTTAATTTAAATTTAATTGCAGTATAATTACAAAAATTAGAGTCAAGGTCAAAATATTTATGTAAAATAAAATATTATAGAATAGATTATTTGTCAATTATGAGTATAGTTTTCTATACTTAAAATTGTTGATGCCTCAGTGTAAATGGGATCATATTTTGTGTCATCCTGCTGCTGAGACAAATTTGAGGTTGTAGTTGCAGAGAAAAGCTTGGGGCTCTACCTGCTTCCATTTTGCTAAAACCATGTGTATTAAATAGCAAAAAATGGTTCTGTATGATCTAGTACTGATACCACAACTCAACTTTTAAGCAACAAATGGAATTGGACTGTGTATACTTGTCTGCTTGGTTACCTAGTTGGGTGTTTTACAGTTAAGTCTATCTGTTTGAATACAGATACAGGTCTAACATTCTCAGTACTCAGATATTATGTTAAATAACTTATTGTGGGAGGACTCATTCAGGTATGTTTAATTATTGCTTGCCAGGTTTACTGCACCCTTTACTAATTGGTTTCATAGTCTGAACTAATCTTGGATGCATTGTACAAACCTCTCCAGTAGGACAGTGTTGTTAGGATTTGGGGGCTATTTTTGCTTCTTGTGAGTATTTGCCATTTAAGAATTGTTAAAGCAACATTTTGACAAGTGTATGACTCAGTTTTGATTGCTATTCTATTTTAATGGCTTCAAGTGAGGTAGCTTTTAGCTTGTAACCGACCTTACAGCTACCGTATGGATAGGCACGCAAAAAAAGGAATTTATAGGTATTACCAAAGAAAAGAAGTTAAACCAAATAAATAATGTAAAGTATTTACATTTTAAGCTGTTTGGCAAGATACTTAAGCTTCTTAGACAAGTCACTGCTTTGTAACTGGGGGAAAAAAAATAGCAGTATGTAGGTTGTTATTTGGTGTGGGGGGGGTTCCTCTTGGTAGCAAAAATACATTTTGGACCTAGAAGCCAAAACTGGTGACTTGATCCTATTCCATTCCAAATGCTGCAGGTCTCTCTCTCTTGATTTAGTGACTGGTTGAATGAAAATTGAATTGCAGACAGGAAGTGTAAGGGCAGGTGCTAAGAGAAGCACTCATTTCTCCGAGCTGAATTTGTATGTGACACAACTAGCAGCAATGTAATCACGGGGGTTCCTTCATACGTAGTTTGTAGCTCTAAACGCAGATATTTTTAGATTATTTTTAATCAGGAATATATACTGTGCTGTTTTTTTATAATAACAAATATATGTACTAATGCAAATAATTTTAGCCTACTTTGTGTTTTCTTTAAAATTATAGATCTACAAAAATATAATCCATATATAATATGTAAAAATGTCAAAACAGTCCATAGATAATTTCTTAACAGCTGAACAAGGGATAATAGTGATTTAGGATGAGATCAGTTATCCTTTAGAATCTGCTTGCCCTTTGCTTTTAGCAGTTGACTTTTGCACAGGTTTGGAAGTGAACATCTGCTTAGTCTTTCTTGAAGCCGATCTAAAAATGCTTTTAAAATTAATTCTGTGTGTAATACTTCTGCATAGCTTGATAGCTTGCCTTAAGTTTTGTTGGGATTAAAAAACCTCTTTACTAAGTAGGTATAGCCTTGGGTACATATAGGGGTTTTTAATGTAAAAATATTTCTTAAATCATCGCACCAATAAACACGCTTGCTCCACTTATGGCTACGCACATAGCTACATCCGCTTTTAATCTAAAAGTGCTTTTGCTCAGATGATGACAAACTAAGACATTATTCTCAGATATAAACTTGATAAATACTGAAGAATAGTCATCTCGTGTGTTTCTTGTGAAGAACCTTAAATGAAAAAAATTATGTAATTAAAAGGTGGAAGGCAGGTTGTTAGACTCTGAAAAAGTGGAGTTATTAAGTATGGTTTCTTATAAGGAAATTGGAAACAGAAAATCTTCAAGCTTTTTTATATGTTCTTTCCTCATAGTGTAAAGCAAGCTTATTCTCAGAGTTGTAATTAAACTTTGCGTGAAAATCCACCTAAATCACTCCAGTGGAAAAAACATCACACAAAAAACTCATCTTTGCCTGTTTAAGTGGGACAATGAGAAAGTAGTTACAATCATTAATCAGATATATAAAGGGGAGTGGGTAATACAAACTGGTGTGAGGACAGCCTTTTTTATGAGACCACTTTGCTTTTTACCAAAAAAAGGTAGAGACTAGAAACAGTAGTAGTTAGTGCTGGTCATCACTGTGATAAAAGTCAGTGTACTTATCACTGTGACAAAAGCAGACTTTGAAAAGCAAGTGGTTTGGAGGAAGGCGGCTATAAACACACCCTGTGTTTTTGACTAAAAAAGTTTTGGTGGTGATATCAAGGGTAGGGATTGAGGTGGAAAAAAGTTAAGTGACAGAAAAAGGAGTTGACTGAGATGAGGCATACATGATAAATAGTTTTGCAACCAGATTGACAATTCATAAGTGGTGAGAGCTAAACCAGGCATTCATAATGGAACAGATGAGGGAAGCATCTCCAGCAACTGTGACGCTCTCATGGAGTATATAATACAAGTGACATCAGCATATGTAGGGTAGCAGAAAGGCATCATGTCAGAGTGCCATTAACTGTAATGTCAGGGCATGCATTAAAAAACATGTAGAAAATAAAAGTAACTTTTGATTAGACAGACATCTCTGAAGAAAGTGTCTTTCATAACTGCTGTGGTTTAACCCAGCAGACAGCCAAACACCACGCAGCAGCTTGCTCACTCCCCCCTCCCTGCAGTGGACAGGGAGAGAATCGGAAGGGTAAGAGTGAAAAAAACTTGTGGGTTGAGATAAAGACAGTTTAATAGAACAGAAAAGGAAGGAAAAATAATAATAGTGATAATGATAGAATATACAAAATGAGTGATGCACAATGCAATTGCTCACCACTCGTGCTGACCAATAACCAAGTAGCGATCGCTACTTCCTGGAACACGCCTACCATTCATATACTGAGCATGGTATGGAATACCCCGTTAGCCAGCTGTCCCGGCTATGCTCCCTCCCAGCCTCTTGTGCATTTGGTAGGGCATGGAAGCTGTCCTTGACTAGCAGGATACTTAGCAACAACTAAAAACATCGGTGTGTTATTAACATTCTTCTCATACTAAATCCAAAACACAGCACTGGGAAGAAATTTAACTCTATCCCAGCCGAAACCAGGACAATAACCAAAAAGATAAATTTTCAAAAAGGACTTTTTCCTTTGTTTTGCTGAACATCTGCATAGAAAATCCACACGTGCAAACAGTCATTGTTTGAATGTATGATTAAGACATGAAGGTGCAAGTATTTTCCTTTTTACTGACTAAGGAGCTCCCTGCATTACTATTTGCTCATAGGTAATGTGTTATCAGAACACCTTAAACGCTAATTATTTTAAATTTCTGTAGGTTAAGAAATAACCTACACATTTTGGGAGGAAGAAACAATTACTTTTTGTGAAGTTCGTTCGTTTTTACTTTATTCCATTTTGACCAGTTCTGTGTTAACACTGCTGCTTGCTGAAGCTGTGTGTCTTATGTATTGTATTGCTGCTTTTTCACATCCCTGAGCAAACTGAAGGATTAGTTTTGTTTGATGTTTTTTGGTTGGGTGTTTTGTTTTTTTTTTTTTGTCACAGTTGCTAGATTTTGGACAGATTAATAGCATAGACATCGGTGAGAAATACTACTGTCCTTATAGTTCAAGATTAACATATAAAACATGAAGAAAGCTTTTAATTTAAACAAGCATCCTGTGAATTTTTAATCCCTTTCTGCTTTCAAAGCCAGAGGGACCTGTTGTGTTGTGGGAGTTTAGTGTTAGTTTAAATTAGGTTTATACCTTCTCTGGTTCCAAGATTGGTTGAATATGGACATTAAGGGGAGATGGAGGAGGAAATGAAGTGATGGTATCTATGAATACAAATGTAAAATTTGTTTTATATGGAAGACTTAACTTTTGAAAACTATTAGGTTAGCAAGATTGTAAGTATGACGAACTTTCACCTCTGTAATACTAGCCCACCAAAACTCACCTCCATATAAGCGGGTAGAAAATGGCAGTAGCTGCAGTCCTTGGGTACAGCAGTGAGGAAAGCAGCCGTATGCCTGGTATTCACTATCATGGCCACTCCTTAAAGCCCTTG